AGAGTTACCATATTTCTCCAGATATTCCCCATTTTTTCACCCATTATACATATCTTTGCCTATAGATTCTTTAAAATATTTCTTATGGCTCGTTTAAAGGTCTTTTCTGCCTATTCCAACATTCTAGGTATCCATGAGTCTTTTTCTATTGAGAGTTTTTTCCTTCTGGATAAGAGTCACATTTTCAAATTTTTTCATATCTGGTATCTTTTACATACTGAATGCTGTGGATAGTATGATATAGAGATTCTGGATTCTATTACATTTCTTGAAGAGTGCTGAATATTGTTCTAGTAAGCAATTCAGTTACCTGAGAATCAACTTGATCTTGTTTGCAGTGATGGAGTTTTAGGTTTTGTTAGAGCAGGGCTATTTCCATTGGCCTTAGTCTTAGATGTATCCCTTAGATCTGGCGTATGGGCTTTACTCTTAATGTGTGGCTCTTCTGAGGTCATTTCCTTTGAAAAATTTCATTTAGTATTTCTTATAGTGAAGTCTCTTATAGTGACAGCAAATTCTCTTAGCTGTCATTCATTAGAAAATGTTTTTATTGTGCTTTCATTTTTTATTGAGTTATTTAGTAGACAAAATTCTAAGATCCCCCACCAAGATTCCTGTCCCCTGGTTATTCTGTCAAATACTAATCTAGGTACTGCTGTGGAAGGGTTTTGCAGGTATGATTAAGCTCCCAAATCAGTTGAACTTAAGATATGGAGATATTCTGGGTGACCCTAGTCTAATCACATGAGCTCTTTACAAGCAGGGAGTTTTCTCCAAGCGGTAGCAGAAGAGGAAGTGAGAGAGATTCAAAGCATGAGAGAGATTCCCACATGAGAAAGGATCTCCATTGCTCCTATGGAGACGGCCCACGGAATGGAAATGTGAGTGGACTGCAGGACCTGAGAATGGTTTCAGGCAGCTAGTTAGCAAGGAAACAGGGACCTCAGTTTTGCTTCCCCAGGGAACTAAATTTGGCCTGAATGAGCTTGGAACTGGGTCTTTCCCCATAGCCTCGACTTAAGAGCTTAGCCAGACCAACACCTTGATTTTGGCTTTGTGAGAGCCTAAGCAGAGAGCCCAGTTCAGCTGTGTCCAGACTGTTACCTACAGAAATCGTGAGATAATAAATGGGCATTTTTAAAGTCATTAAGTTTGGGGTAATTCATTACATAGCAATAAGAAAATTAATGCACTGATCTTCTGATCATTCTTTAGGTTTTTACTTCCCTCCCAAATATGCCTGTTACTGTTTACTTTCAGAGTCCTTGAATAGTCGCTTTTTGTATTCTATCCAGTTTTTAATTATAATCAGTGAGCAGAAGAGGCTGTAATGGGCTTGCTCCATCTTGGCAGACCTCAAAAGTATTTAGGGGTAAATTTAACAAAATATTTGCAAGGTGTGTCCACTGAAAACTATAAAATACACTATGAGAAACTTTTAAATACCAAAATAAATGAAAAGAACAGATCATATTTAAGGATAATAATCAAAATTATTAAGATGCCAGTTGTCTCTAAAGCAATCATAGATTCAAAGTGATTCTAATTAATAATACAAGGCTTTTTTGGTACGAATTGACAAACAGATTCTAAAATGTATATGGAAATGGAAGGGACATAGAATATCCAAAACGATATTGAAAAAGAAAAACATAGTTAGAGGACTTCTACTGCCTGATTTTAAGATGTACAGTAATTAAGGCAGTGTGGTACTTGCATAAGGATCGATAAATAGAATATGGAGCATAGAAAGAAACATATTATGCAGTCAATTGACTTTTGGTAAAGATACCAAAGAAATCCAATAGAAAAAACAAAGTCTTTTCAGCAAATGGCCCTGAAACATCTAGATGTTCATATGGGGAAAAAATGAAACATAGGTGATACATTACATCATATAGAAAAAAATTATTTTAATTAGCTCTTAGTCCAAACCTAAAAGCTAAAACCATAATGTTTTTAGAGGAAAACATAGGCTAATATTTTCATGACTTGGAGTAGGCAAGGATTTCTTAGGGCACAAAAAGCAGTAACTGTAAAAGAAAAAAATGATAGATTAGACTTAATCAAAATTTAAAACTTCTGTTAATCAAAAGACACCACTAGGAAAATGAATGGGAAAGCCACAGACTAGGAGAATTTATTTGCAAAATGTATATCTGAGATGATATATGGGATATATAAAAAAAATTTCTACAACTCAATAATAACAAGATATACAATCCAATTTTGAAAAATGGAGAAAATTTTGAACATACATTTCACAAAAGATATACGGATGGCCAGTAATCACATGAAAAGGTGGTCAATGTGATTAGCCATCAAAGAAATGCAAATTAAAACCATAATAAGGTAGTTCTATATACTTGCCAGAATGGTTATTATGAAAGCAGCTGATATAAATAATCACATAGGTTGTGCAAAGATCTGGAACAACTGGAATTTCCCACATGTTGTTTTGAGTATAAAATGGTTTGGCAGTGTTTTGGTTTTTTGTTTTTTTTTTTAAACACAATATACACCTACTCTTTGACCCAGCAATTCTACTCTCTGATATTTACCCAAGATAAATTAAGACATATGTTGACAAAAAGACCCGGTCAGAAATATTCATAACAGCTTATTTATGATAGCTAAACACTTTAAATAGATCAGGTTTCCATAGAGAGGAGAATGGGTATTCATAATACTTAAAACCTGACAACAATCCAAATGTCCATCAACATGAATGGATTAAATAAAATTATGGTATCTCCATATAGTGGAATCCTACAAATTCTACCAGTATAACATTTTATGTTTATGAATATATAATAATGCTAGCTTCTGGATAAATTAATTTAAAACATAAAAATATTCTTAAAAATTGCTAGCAAACACCAGCATCTTTTGGGTTCCTTTTTGTTCTTCACTGTTTCTATACTAACACTATAAATTTTAAGTTTGACTTGTAGCTCTTAAAGCAACGCAGTGTTTCTTTCATTTTTAAATTGGTCTCTTTACTCTAGGAATCCCAGGCCCTCCTGGACCAAAAGGCATTAATGGCCCTCCTGGGAACCCTGGCCTTCCGGGAGAACCGGGTCCTGTAGGTAAGCATGATAAATAAGAGTTTGCTGTTCTGTAAAACTAAGAATTATCATATTCAGTTTAGGAAAGTCAAATCATGTTCAGCTGTGACCTTTTTCAAAACAAGGAAACATGATCATTCACTTAACACTGTGTGTTTGGTACAAAATAACTCTTAATAAAAAGTACTTAAAATTTTCATTATGCGACCTTATTTTTAGGCTCACTTTTTCCAGGGAGAATTAATTCAAGTATCCTATCCTATAAGAGAAGATAGAAGCTCTGATTTTTTTAGAATGCTGGCTGTAGCCATTTTGTTTGTTTCTAAAGTAAATCACTTCACTTGGCTCCACATGAGGGCTGTGATGCACCCTTCTATCCTTAGCACCTTACTGTCTTGGATATTCTAAAGCCATATTAAAATGAGAAACAGAAAAGTTTTAGATTTTTTAGTGGACTGTTCCTTATTCTTATTATCCTCCTTCATTTTTTATGCTTCATTTTCATAAGATTTCATGATTCAAAGGAGTGTCTCAAAAGCACTTTGTTTCTTTTGTATAGAACTATTTGAAGCTGGTGTGGAAAGAATAGGGTGTATGGAAGGAAAAAGGAGTTGGAAGGCTGGTTGTAAGCTGTTGTACTCTATTCTTTAGGTGGTGGAGGTCGTCCTGGGCCACCGGGGCCTCCAGGTGAAAAAGGCAAACCAGGTCAAGATGGTATTCCTGGACCCGCTGGACAGAAGGGTGAACCAGGTGCT